TTGATTCAGTGACTGGGGTAATCGGGATGGGTGTGTCAGAGGCAGTAAGATTGGCACAGGATAGAGCAGGGTTTAGGGCTGTTGTACATAGGGTCGCTGTGAGTCACAGACAACTCCACGGCACATAACAACAACAACAACAACAACAACAACATGCATACCATTAGGTGAAATCCATGTGTATAACCTGCATTTATGTCTCTTAAAAAATGTATTTGCAATGAGTAAGTCTTTGATTGTGCAAAATTCTGTCATCCTCTCTCTAGCTCCTTTTCTGTCACCAAGTCCATGTTTTCCAACTACTGAATCTTCTTCTCTATTGCCTACTTTTGCGTTCCAGTCACCCATTATTATCAATGCATTTTGATTGCATGTTCGATCTTTCTCCAACTGTAAAAGTTGGTAAAAATCTTCTATTTCCTCTTCCTTGGCTCTGGTTGTTGGTGCATATATCTGAATGATACCAATGAATACCAATTCAGTGGCCTTCCTTATATGCGAATGGATATTGTCCTGTCACTCACAATATTGTACTTCGTGATGGATCTAGCAATGGTTTTCTTAACTATGAAAGCAACTCCATTTTTCCTCACCTTTTCATCTCCAGAGTAATATATGATAATCTGACTTAAAATGCCATATACCAGTCCATCTCATCTCCCCAATGCCTAGTATGTCAATATTTATGCGTTCCATTTCTTCCTTAACAATATCTATATGTTTTTTCATTTTTATTAACTTTAATGAACATTTACAGAGATTTTGGATTTCCATTCATTCATTGCTGCCCTTTTCTCCTTGCCCATCCCTCCCCGCCAGTTCGCTCCTTTCTTTGAAAAGAAAAAGAAAAAAGAATTCCTTCATTGGTATACAATTCCCCCATACTCCCCCCCTCCCAGCACTGAGTTCACTTCTCTATGCAACCTTAATTTAAAAAATATATATAAATTTCCCTCTCTCAGTCTGGTTGTGGTCTATTGGATACATAGTCTTAATCATTCTCAAACCTTCCTCTTCGAGAGAAAAAGTAGTTGTTTATTTCTGCACATGTTATTATTAAATTATCTCATAAAGATAATGCAAATGACAATTATCATTGATTAAAAACATCACTAGTTATGTTTGATTTTAAAAGTGCTTTATATAAAACTGCTATGATCCTCATCTTTAAGACTTAGCCTATCTATAGAGTTCAAGGTAATTTTATTTCTCTTTAGGTTTGACTTTTGTTTTTGGTGCTTTGGACAAAATTTCAGAGCTAAACTCTCAAAGTCTTCTTATATTTGTTCAAATATAAATTTTAGGTTAGAAAATAGAGCTTGGAAAATGGAGATAATTCGACGGCATTTAGGAGTAATTTAAGTAGGGGTTGCTAAGGGTTTGTTTTGGTTTTCAAGAAAGAAATTAAAAAATAATATAGAATGTTCATATGTACTTTATACAAAATTAGATATTAAAATGGAGAAAATTATTAAGAGTGCTCAAACTGACCTTAAATGTTGTTGTTGTTGTGTACCATCAAGTCAGAGCCAACCCATAGCTTACCCTTCAGCAAGTTTTCAGAGGCAGTTAATTGCATGGGAGGAGATTGCATCCTTCTCCTAAAGGGCACTTGGTAGATTTGAACCATGTGCCTTCGGCGTTGCAGTGCAACTTCTTACCATTAGGCTACCAGAATTTTCCTAACACTGGACAGAAGAACAAAATCAAATGTCCAAAAATGAAATTCCTGAGTGGAACTGTCTTAATGAGATTAGAGCCTAAACATATGACTATTAACATTTTCATCAGAACTTCATCTTTTGTTGTAAGGAATGCAGTATGGAACATCTTTTTTCCCCCAATGCTACTTTCACATCCTCAGCTTTATTTTATATGTGTGAATAGTTTTCTATGTGATATGTGAACTGTTCCAAAAGAAGGATTGATAATGTGTTGTTTAACACATTGACTACTAACTTAAAAGTTGATGGTGTGAACTCATTAGTTGCTTTGAAGGAGAAAGATGTGACATTTTCTGTAAAGATTAAACCCTTGGAAAGTCTCTGGGGCAATTCTACTCTGTCCTACCAGATTGCTTTAAGTTAGAATTGAAGGCACTGAGCTTTTTCGGTTAGGCAACTTTTCCAAAAGACTATGTTGAGATAGGAATGTTAATTGACTTGAATTGACACATGTCCAAATGTTATCATAAGGAAATTAGTATTTTTGGTTGGTTTTATATGCCCAGAGTACCTCAAACTCCATAAGCATAATTCTTCTGTTTCCCACCATCTGTCATTTTGCTCTTTCTATCATATTGTATATTGACAGAGATGTGTCCTGTTCTCACTTTCAGGTAATTTAATTCCAAGACATCAGGAGCTATTTTATAAAAATCCTGTTTTTGCTGGAGTAAGGCTGCCTGAAATCAAGGAAACTGTTCCTCTGGAAAGGCGCTACCCCAGACTCTCTGAAGTAGTGATAGATTTAGCAAAGGTAAGGATACATTTCTTTTCACTTTGTGAAAGACATATTACAGAAATTTTATTTTCTCATATTATTTCTTATCTGGTTGATAGTTAAAGTCAATCATTTCCTGTGAAGGTTTTAATTTTTATCCATTAAGAGTTATGTTATGGTTATTGTGCACAGTCGAGTATGAATGGACTCATCCTATCTGAGTCTCCAGCGAGTTTTCAGAGGCAGTTAATTGCACAGGAAGAGACTGCTCCTCTTTCTCCTGCACAGCAGCTAGTAGATTTGAACCTTGTGCCTTGGGAATGTAGCTCCTCACCATTAAGCCACCAAAGGTCCCTGTTAAGAGCTATATACCTCCAAAAAGTTGAATTGTGGATAGCTTTATAATTTAATTTAAAAAAAAAAAGGGATGGAGACTGTGTAGCTGTTGAGACAGCTTCAGGGGAGGAATTCTGTCCCCGGGTTCAAGGTAAAGGTTATGGTTTAATGGAAAACTATCCAGTTAGTTGAAATCTGTTCTACCTTCTAGTTTTTCACCTAGTGGCTGGGTTCTTATAAAAGCTTGCAAACAATTATCCAATGCACAGATGACCTCTATTCATCTGGAACAACAGAGGAAAGAGAGTAAAAGTTAGGAGGTGGATATGGAATGTATTGCTAATTGCCTCCATGAGCAGCTGCCTCCTTTTCCATGAGACCAGAAGAAATGAATGATGCTCAGCATTATTGAACATTTTCTTTTCATAGATTCCATAGAAGAATCTGGATCAAAAGGAGAAAAGTGCAGAACAAGACTTTCAGATTCTTAACAAACTTATGTCCATCTAGAAGTGCTGGATGTCTGTCTGGTGGCCTTTGTATTTGTGATCTTAGTAACCATTGGTAGTCATTTTCTAAATCTATGCTTTGTTGTTGTTGTTGATTGCCATTGAGTTGAGCACGACTCAGCAACCCTTATGAACAAAAGGCCTGAAGTCTTTTTATAACTATTGTCGTTTCTCCAAGTTCATAGAGTATCCAGAGACATGTGGTTTAGGAAGTGAATGCCACCCCTGCTTCCAAACCTGTCTTAAACTGGGAGCGCCACCAAACACTGTTCACCATGGGCAGCTGTTACAGCACTTGAGCTCCCAAAGGCACAAGGTTCAGCATCACAGCAAACCCAGATTACCTCAATAGAGCATACTGGCAGAAGAGTGTTGCCCAACTTAGAATGATTCTCCAAAATATAATAACAACTGACTTTTAAATACAAGGGCCCTCCACGAGGTCTTCTTGACTCTAAACAAGAGGCTTAAATAAAAAAACCCAAAAAACCAAACCAACCAACCAACCAACCAACTTACCAACCTACCATTACACACAATCCTCAACCAAAACAAGAGTGCCCAATTTACAGAGTCCAGCCACAGTCACCCAGTCTTCAAAATGGAGACAAGGGCTGGGCTTTAAAGACAAGGGTCCTCCATGAGGTCTTCTTGACTATAAACAAGAGACTTCAATAAAAAACAACCAAACATTCCACATGAGATTTTATTGTTTTGGTTTTTTTAAATGTGTATTTTACTGTGTTTATTATTTATAATTGATTCTAGAAATTTGTCATTAATTAAATATAAAGTGGAATTTTCTAAAAACATTAGCTTTTCCCCCTTTGATCAAAACTGTGTATATATCTTGGTCTTACAGAAATGTTTACATATTGACCCAGACAAGAGACCGTTCTGTGCTGAGCTCCTGCATCACGATTTCTTTCATGTGGATGGATTTGCTGAGAGGTATAGTACTAACCCATGTTTTCTAGGCCACACTAATCTAGGGTTAAAATAGGATCACCTTGACAGTAACAAACACTATTTCTCTTGTTTTTGGTCCCCATTCCTTTTGCAGGATTTCAAAGATTTGCCTTTCAACTCCTATTCACCATTTGCAATAAAAATACAAGTATGAGAGGTAGTCTTCTATATTAACTAAATTAGCACTTTTGGTTTTCATGAACCAGCGACTTCATGCTTTTCTTTGTGTCTCCATGTGGTGACATCTATCTTCAGGCCACTGATTTCTGTGTTACCAGCGGTGTGATCCTATCATCGATGTTATTGATGTTATTATTATAAAGGTGCCGTCTTCTGTTACTGACAGTTTCATTTATGTCAAGTCTTATGATACAGCTGTCACTGTGGATATGCTCGAGACCTCAAAGTGCCAAATATGTGGGTGCCAGAGCTGCTGGCAGAGTTGCTTCTGCTGCTCCAGCTGCTGGCATCAGCGGATTTGAAAGCTTGCACTTCGAGTGTCTTGAGGTAATGGAAACGGCTTCTTTATGTCTTTATTTTTTCCAATACCTTTTCTTTTTCTTAGGACCTAAGTAGGGACGATAGAAGAGGGAAAAGACATTGTGTTATATTCAGATTGCCTCTCTCCGCTGACTTTAGGCTATTTTCTCTAGATCAGATTTGTGTTCTGTGAAGCTGTCTTCTTGGAGGTTGAATTATTTCCCGGAAGATTCCTCAGAACTTTAGGAAAAAGCTCTTTAATTCACTGATTTTCAAATAAAACTAATGCTTTCAGAGGCTTCCTTCCAGGGACAGAAATTCTTGAGTAACCTCATTTTGAGGTATTTAATATGCACAATTTAAAGACATATCCTTTTCAACTCCTTGTAAATTACAAATTAGTACCAGAAGTGAGACATATCTTTAAATTGGTAAAATTATAGCAAAAGTAAAAACACAAACACAGAATTAAGATCATTTTATAGTGCTCATCTTTGCAGTGGAAGGTCAGAGATAGGCAACGATTTGAAAGAAAATAACCTGGTCAAATCTGAATCATAAAGTGAAATATCGGATTGCTTCAGTGTTGAGTGAGATGTAAAGCTACATATAGCATTGTTTTAACTTTTGTCAATGTATCAGCATCTGGAACTGACATCTCACAAGAGATATAAATATTTATTTTACTGGGGAGCTCTGACTGGAATAGTCTACTACTGAGCCAAAGGTGGTACCTCTCTGACTGTTCAAATCCAGCACTGACTCCTTAGAAGAAAGATAAACAGTCTCTTCCAGAGTGATTTCTAGACTATGAAAACCTGCTGGAGGATCAAGTTGGTCCTGACTTGGCAGCAATGAGCTGAGTTTTTAGTTCTCAGGCAGAAAGTGTGTTATATAAATTACTTTTACCTTATATAATTTGTCTAATTAGAATTCATGCTAATTGACAATTTGAAAGAAATCAATATCACTAAATAGCATCTGCAAGTTTATGATATTAATATAATATTTAAACTTATCTTTTAATATCAAAGTAATATCATTGTGTAATATCACTGTATGCCACTGTTTCTAAATATTGTGGGCAGTGTTTACCTGAGATGTTGTGTCAGTTCAGATTCTTCAAGAAGTTAATATCAAAGTGAATTAAAGTGTAAGAGATTTATTGTAAGGAATATGCATAATAAATAAAGAGGGATCTCCCTGCTCTTGAGAAGTATTTTTGTTAACACATGCTATTTTTTATAGGAAGTTATTAAAAAATACACTGGGAAGATTATACATTATTAGATTAAATACATCATGAAGATACTTCCCCAGTAGGAAGGAATGGTTGGAAAGCAAACTGAGAAAGTACATGTTATGTCCATGCATATGTCCAATGCAGCCAGAATGCTCTTTGGAGGCAAAGATGATAAAGCTTTGCCTTACACACTTTAGGCGTGTTGCTAGGAGAGGCTATTCCTTGGAAAGGGACATGAGGCTCGGAAAGACAGAGGGTCGGCAAAGAAGAGGAAGACTCTCGACCAGAATTGACACAGTGACTACTCTAATGGGTTCTAGTGAGTCAGGAAGTGTGAGGATGGCACAGAATAGGACAGGGTTCAGACCTGTTATTCACTGGGTCACTATTGGTTGTGCTCAACTCCACAGAATCTAATAGCAACAACATGGTAGTTACAGCCTTATTTATCATAATTACCATGGAATTCATAAAATTCTCAAAGCTGTATAAAATATAGAAACAAATAGGAAGCACTGCTCAATGGAACTCACAAAAACGAAATTAAGTAGAAACACCAGTGAATATTATCTAGAAATTTCCAATTTTAGTAATATATTTCATCTTGATGTACTATACAGAACTAAAGGGCAATAATAAATTTGCTAAACATCACATAACATGAGTGAATCAAGAAGATATTATACTGAGTGAAAAAAAGCCAATCACAAATGGACAAATACTGCGTGCATCCATTATTTTTTTTTAAAGGATTAAGAAGGTTTCCACTCTGAGGAACTCATTCTTGGATGACTACTGGGCGAATGTAGGAAAGAAGGGGTAAAAATTAGTAACTAGATAATAAATACATGTTGTATTGTGCTGTTGTGTGCCACTGAGTTGGAATTGACTTATAGTTCACCCTCCAGTGGATTTTCAGAGGAAGTAGATTGCAAGGAAGGAGATTGTCCTTCTTTCTCCTGAAGCGCAGCGGGAGGATTCATACGTGTGCCTCTGAGATTGCAGTAAAGCGTCTTAGCACTAGGCCACTTAGTAGGATGAATAAAGGGACAGACAATCTACAATAAGGGAACATGGCACAATATCACTAAAGAGAGGGAAGAGACAGAGAGGAATGTTATAAATTAAAATGTGTATGAAGGGTTGAATGAAAAACCAATATGCTTTGAAACCTTTCATTCAAATAACAAAGAATTAGCTATGTGGAACAACATTGTGATTAGCTAGAGACTTTAGGGGATCATGAATACAGATTCATTGTAACACAGGTTAATGAAGGATGGAACAGAGTTCAGATCTGTTTTTCATAGAATTACTATGAGTTGTACTCGACTCAAGGGCACCTCAGAACAACAATGAAGGAAGAACTCAGAAAAGGACTGTTTGCATGACTCAAAGAATGCTACCAGTGTCACTGAATTCTCCATGTACACTGGTTTTACTGTGAATATTCACAATAGCAACAAAGACAATTTTGAAAGTAATAATAAAAATTTGCAGTAATCTTATTACTTATTATTTAAGTTTGGGTTTTCCAAGAAGCAGGTGTCAAGATCAGATGAGATGTATATCCAGACCTTTATCCTATGAAGGCTAAAGATAAAGATGGCAGACAGCATGCTTAGATCATAACACAGTTTTGATACTTGTGAAAGAGAGGAGGGAAGGGCTGGACATGGATGTTGTGAGAAAGTTTTGGCATTAAGTGAGAAATCCCTAAGTAGAAGTTGGTCATTGGAAGCATTTTCCCTAAAGAGTCTCACACCAGGAATGTGCCTGACACGAGAGCTCTCACCATGCTCAGGCTTTGCTTGCAGGCAGCCTGGGGAATCATGGCCTCATATCAGATGTGGAGGTGGATCCAAAGACATGAGAGCTGTGGTCATCAGTCAACTATGCTCCCCCATAATGCTTTCGTTTTTTAAGTTGAAAAGAATAGTATTTTCCAAAACAAGATATAGAGAAAAATATAGCAATGGTACTGCTTTATACTTTTGTAAATGTCTTTAATATTTAAGAAAAGACAATTGGATTCTCTTATCTCATTCTACATTCAATCAAAGTGATATGTTGTTTTGGTTGAACATTAAGAAAGTCTGGCCTCACTCAGATATGTAGTTGGAAAATGAAAGAACATTTTAATAAACTTTAAGGCAATTATTGGTATTATTCTTTGATACTACATCAAAACTGGACAAGTAGTGGTTTCTAAATGGCTGTTTGTATTGTGGAATCTGGAATCATGCTAGTGAATTTTTGTCACTGTGTTATGTTACATCCCATTTTTTGTTCTTGCATTTCGAATAGGAATTTTGCCCACTCATGGCTTTGTAAGATCATGTATTAGCATTCGCATAAAGGAAACTCTGGTGGCCTAGTGGTAAGAACCTGCACGCAATTCTGAATGCACATGGTTCAACTCCACCAACTGCTCCACAGAAGATGGTTGGGCAGTCTCCTCCTGTGTGATTGCCTCTGAAAACCCTCTAGAGGGTCAGCTGTGGGTTGGTTCCAACTCTATGGAACTCAACAGCAGCAGCAACAATACTGTTATGCAGATCTTAAGTGTGTATTTCATGATACACTATAAAAAGTTTTTCCACCTTGTCAGGAAAGACTACATCTGGGGAAACTGCAATGCTCACAGTGGCAATTATGTTTAAAAGAGTTTTAATTTTTATGTGAAAGTTTTGATTATTGACAGAAACTGTCAATTTTTTTTCTTGAGATCTGAGGTTAGTTTTGTTAAATTTATATAAAGCAGTTATCTGTGAAATAACCAGTTTGAATAACCATAAGGGGTTTTTACCACTTGTTCTCTCAAGTAAAAATGTTCTATGAAAGAAGTGGCTGATTCAGTTTGTGTCTAAGCCTGATTTTAAAGACAACTATTACACTTTGATAGGTAGCAGAAGTGCTTTATGTATGTTTCCCATTTTGTCCTACAGAATATGAAAAATCTATGTGTTTATGTGTACCAGAAACTTTCCTTACCATTGTTTTCTTTTCACCAGTGGAAATGTCAACCTGGTGAGAAGGAGAACAATTATCTTCATAATAAGATCAGAATAGAGTTGACCTTATAAACCACCTGGAAGTTCCACAGGGACCATCTTTTAAGAACTGCTGATCTAGGCCATAATTTTTCTTATTTTATATAATACAATATGTAACTAACTTGGTTTTAAAAGATAATCTTGAAAAATGTTTCTAGGTTAATCTGTTTCACATAATTTAGTATTACTGAGAAATATATTTTATGTAGGTTTTCTCAGGAACTACAGTTGAAGGTACAGAAAGATGCAAGAAATATTTCTTTATCTAAAAAATCTCAAAACAGGAGGAAAGAAAAGGAAAAAGATGATTTAGGTGAAGAAAGAAAAACACTTATGGTTCAGGTAACTCCATATTTTTAATGAATGTTTTATTTTAATTGAGACTATCTTAACTCATTTTCCTTTAGCTTTTGAGGAAAAATTTTTCCAAGTTTTGGGTGGTGAGTAAATTAACTTTTAGTTGTCAAAAGTATTTTTGCTGGAAATTGGACATTTTTTGTCCTGACATAAAATGCATTGAGTATGTACTCAAATGTATTTTACCAGGCTATATACAGTAGGATTTGGCAGGAAATTACATACATCTAAGGATAGCTACATATATGTTGAAGGCTCTGTTGGCCTAGTAGATAAGGAGTTGTGCTGCCAATCCATAGGGCCTATGGTTTGACTCTACCAGCTGCTCCACAGTAAAAGATGGACGGTCTCCTTTCATGTGACTCAGCCTCTGAAAATCTATTGAGGCGCCAGCTATGAGTTGGTTCCCCCTTGATGGCCTACAATAACAACAACAAATATATATATATATATATAAATGCACACTCACAAATACAGGCAGATACACACCATCCCCCCTTAATTAACATGAGAGAAAAAGTATTTCTTCTTCTTTTTTTTTTTTAATGTTTAGGTTTGTTTTCATGTGATTTAGTATTTTTTGTTTGGTCTTTTTTAATAATTTTAATGAACATTTACAGAGAATTTGGATTTCCATTCATTCATTGCTGCACTTCTCTACCCGCCCAGCCCTCTCCCCCCGCCCCCCAGTTCGCTCCTCTCTTTCAAAAGTTAAAGAAAGACTCCCTCCCTGGTACACAATCCCCCCGCACTCCTCCCACTGCCCCAAGTACATTCCACTATGCAA